ATCGACCTCTATTGTGAAAAGAATTCCTACTAGCTTGGGATCATCTGCGTTACTTTTTGCATAGGATAACGAGACATCACGTTGCATACTGGTAGAGAAGAAGCTGTTGAATGACATCAACCCGCCTATCGTGTTTTTTAGTTCTCCAAAATCTGTGTGAAATAGACCTTGTCCACGATATACTGTAAAGACACGGGAACTCCAAGGTGTGTTAACGAACTGTTCTTTATGCAACTGTTCTATGTTGCGATGAAGATCAGTGACGAAGAATCCCAATCGAACAAGAACATCAACATCCATGATTCGTAGCGCATTGTTGAGCATGGAATGCATGGAATTACCTCTTGTATACCACCAGATGGGCTCCTTTGCACGGTAATCACGTACTGATTGCTTAACATCATTAGAATGTGTACCATCGAGAGTGATTAGTCCAGGATGATGCCTGACAAACTCTTCGATGTGTTTGTCTTCAAATTCGATCGTTAACAAGATCTCTTTGAAGAGTTGTGTGTACATGAAAGATGGATTGAGCAGATCCAATCTTTTGCCAGATGGTACAAAACTGATTGGTGTGATAGTGGGCTCATCTTGGGGAAATGTGTTCTGAATGGCTTGGCAGAGTGATGTTATATCAGTGAAAACATCTTTGATCTTGTTCCAATGTCTAGCCCATTGTTCATGATATGATTTGTTTTGACAAAAGATGAAAATCGAGTGTAATAGAGGAATATCGTGGATACAACGCACAAGATATTGTCCAAGTGCACCAGAAACGATTAGATAGACTTGATGGTCATTACAATTGAGTATATATTCGACACATTCATCATTATCCGTGAATGTAGAGATATTGTCAGTAATGTGTTCAAGTTGTGCAATTGTTAACTGGCAATCAGGATTGTTATGATCAATCTGATTGTCGAGCCAGATCACAACGACGTCTTGCATCTTTCGAAGATCGATCGATTGTCTACTGTGTTGAAAGTTCTGATTATTGTTCTCCTAGTTGTTATTACCTTCACACGCTCTGATTTGATGCTGTGTTGGTTAACTCACAATAAAAAGGGTAACATCGTTGGTAAATTTTTGTGTTCTTTCTTCTTTCTACCGCATTCGCAGAGTTACCTTTTTTGTGCATAACAACTGAAGAACGAGAAAAACATACCTGTAGAGAATGCAATTGTTGCGACGCAAGTATTGAAAAAGTGAAAAGAAAGTGTTTAGTAAAAGACGTAGTTTAACTGAAACAAATCGAAACAGCTTCTATTTGCATAACGCGCTTCTGTTTGAAAAAAGTATCGCTGAGAGGTTAAACCTTACTTGCTCGAGATGTTAAAAGCCTATTCGTCCTAGTGGATCTAAATGTGTTCGTAACCGTTCAAAAAACGAATGATTATATGTTGTTGTAATCGGGAAACATAAACGTTCGTTCATCTTCTCTTACACCTTGAACCAAAAGTGATAAAATGAGCTTTTACTGTTGTAAATGTATCGTTTGTTGTTAAATCTAATCGGTAAGTAATATTAATGTTGAAAGACGTCTACTTCGAAGAGATATAAGTCTGAAATTGATTTTTCCCGCTGCATATAAGATATTTCAATCGAGTTTTAGCAGAAATGGACAAAAACGAGGCATATAATCACCATAGACATCGACTAAGTATGAATGAATTTGTTGATACACAAAGAATTGTTTTCCTAGCACATGCTCACTGTGTAACAATTCATAGAATGTCACTCTCTTGTTTCAGTTTTATTTTGAAATATTGTCGATAAGCTAATCCACTCGACTCGAGACAATTTTTATCCAATCCTTTTGTACAACAGTAACCTAATATATCTGATTGACAAAAAAAACGAAAGACATCTATTCTATATGATATGATTGATCACTCTATCTTCATTTTATTCAAAGTAAAAATACAAATTAAAAAAATGTTTGGATTATATTAAAAGTCAAAAATAAATGTCGAATACGCGCACAAGTTTAGTTTTTCATCACTTGCTTCATTCGTTGTGTATGTCTTAATTGTGCATAGATTTTCGATGGATTGAAGACAAATATCTTCGTATTATCTTATTAATCATGTTATATATACAGATGTACGATGCATGCCACTTACAAAGTCGGTTGGATACAAAACAGCAACAGTTGATTCAGTTGTCGAAGCAGGTGAGATTGGAGTAGCTGTTGTTGTTGTTGTCAACTGTTCAGAATACGTTCACATGATATTGGATGAATATAGGTGAGAGAATCTTACGAGTGTGCTGATCAAGAGGAGAAAGCCAAAACTTGATCTATTTCAGATAGTATTTGAAGCAGAGCGAAGTAGTTGAAGTCTGAAGTCTCGCTTTTTCTCCCTTGGAAAATCCGTTTTTAGCAATGATTTCTTTTCAAAACTTACTTCATTTATTCTACTAAATACTATCTTTTTCTATGTCGAAACTGTTAGCCTACTCGTTCGGCATTACCTTCTGCCAATAGCTATGGTCCTAATTCATGAAAAGGGTTGACAGGTTTTTAATTGGAGAACATGGTGACACAGACTGAAGCTGTGGGAATAGGACGCTTTTTTCGGCAGAAAAATCAGAAACATGGTTCAATGCATCTGAAAGACGCGTCTGGGTGCGTTTATGCCTGCGTTTCAAACATGTCTATACTAAAAAAGAATTTCACATGGGGAGGACGATTTATGTAGCAGATAACGTCTTAACCTCACCCAACTCGATTAAATTAGATTTGTTATATCTGATGAAATAGCTAGTTGAACAATAAACTTTCTACCCGATAATTCAACTCCGATGATAGTTATGCATGATCATAATGAAATGAAATAGTGGAAAAGCTTTATTCCAAGAATTAAAGATATTTGTGACATTTCCTGGGTTCGTCCATGAGAAAATAATGGGATTCTATGTCATTGAATAACGTAGAATAATCTTTCCTCTCGTGTCATTCACTTTTCTTATCACGTAGAAGACTGATTATAGAGAATATCAAGTACAAATACTATATGCGAAAGAGGTTTGTTGTGTAAAATAGCATCTGATGATGAGTATATCGCATTTATCAATAATATTTTTCTTCAAGTGAATTATGATTTTTCTATTCGGAACAATACGACATGCTCTGAATGTTATGCTTTTATCTCAACAACTATTTCGTTTCAATTTATGTGCCCTAATTTTCCTTTTTTCGTCGTTGGCGAATTTTATTTCAATCGCATCTTGTCTTATTTGCCGTTTATTCGCTGGATGGTTTGTTGATTCAACCAATATACGGGTCGAGGTCTCTACAAACTTCGTACGTTTGTTCCCAACGTAGCACGATCAGCCGAATTTTGGTTCACTCTTTTAGCAATCATTGATCGATGGTTGCTGCCAAACCGGAATATTTTTTATCGTCGAATGAATACGGTAAAAAATGGCAAATGAAGTCTGATTGTTGTTTTCATTCTCTCAGTCATTGTATTTCCTCATGTTATCTATTCTTATGAACCAACAGTGGCGTAACCAGGATTTTTTGACGACTGGGCAAATTTTGCTTACGGCTAAAAAAACGTTGGGCAAGAGTGGGCAAGATTTTTGTCGGCAGGCCAAAACTTTCTAACTTTATAAGAGTTTAATACATCAAAAACACAACAATAGAAAATGAATTTTTTAAACTTATTTTGCTATAAAAAAAAGAAAAAAGTTCATTATGTCGTATTGTTTTTTTCATAGTAATGTACTGAAAAAATCTGAAAGGACAGAAAAAAGAAAAGTATCTAGACGATTAAACTACCTCTATTTTTTTGCTTCACTTGCTCCTGTTGACTCTCCAGGAAAACAATTGAAAAAGAATAAATCTATAATTCATATAGGAACAAACGATTCTTAACTGTCTTTCTGAAATAAAAGCTTGAAGGACTATTCTATTAAGTTTTTAGGTTTTTGAAGATTTAGGTTAGATGTTTAAAAAGCTTCCAGAGATTTTGAGATTTTCGGATGATTTTTCATGGGATTTTGAAGGTTTTACATCAAATATCGAAAGAATATACGCATTTTTTATCGAAAAATCTCGGTTCTCGATAATATTTTTATGAAAATACTGCAAAAACTTCTGAAAAACTTTTTGAAAATAGAGGTGTCTGTTAAGAGGGGTTTTAAATAATTAAAGTATCAGTGTGAAAATTATGGCGTAGTAAAAGTTCAATGGGCAAAAGCTTATGAATAAAAATTACAATGGGCAATTGCCCATTTGCCCCCCCCCCCCTGGCTACGCCACTGTAACTAAATTTAATAATATATCACAGAAAGTGAAATTTAGATTAGAAATACTATTAATTTCAAGATGTACAACAATTGATATTATTTTTGCTACTCGTGGTTCTCAAATTTTTGCCATAAAATGCTTAAAAATACTAATAATAACATAAGAGGTATGAAATAACACAGAAAATCAAGAAAACATGATTAATATCGTTGGGCCGGGCTAGCCCAACAAAATACTCTGCCCACCCGGCCCAAAGTGGAAGCGTCATTGGGCCGATCCATCGGGCCGGGCAGCCCATTTCGAGCCCTGATAGTTACTGCCATTATTGCACTCAAGTAAGGTTGTGATGACATATTGTCGGACTGAGATGTGTAATATTGTACTTGATGTTATAATGAAGGTAGAAGTCTTTAACTGGTCACTAAAATTCAGAAGTGTGTGTTTTCTGTAGGAACAATCCTGATGAAGTGATAGTTCAAATCATCCGATTTCTATGAGATAAAAACATTAAAAATATATCTGATTTGGCCTTTTTATGTTTTAGATTTGCACATACATTCCATAATCGTCCGCGGTATATGAATTATTTTAGCAATCTTATATTATTTCTTATTGATCACCAAGTAATACCTGTCGATAGAAAATTGTATTTATTGTTATAATATTTATTAATTTATTTTCTTAAACACTTTACAATTGTGAAGTTTTTATAATATTGTCTTCTCGAAACTCTATCCGAATCCTAGTAGAACATCATATCTGGTTTCGATCCAGCTTTCAGATCTGTACGTTCCCACATAAATGACATAAGATTTCGTCTAGGAACAGTTATATTTTTAAGTTCAATAATCCAACGATTACAGCCTGAATCATCTATATATCCAGCTTTACGTACATCGACAACACGAAACATTGTGTACGGAAGTAGAAGTACTTCTTCTTCATCAGGAATTTCCGATATTACAGGTTCTTTTACTAAATCTATAGCAGTTGAACATGATTTTTCTGTGAAATCAAAGATATAAAGAGCAGGAAATTTATAATCATTTTCATCTGGGTTCGCACCGTACATTAATGCTATATTTTGTGATTTTGATGTTGAATAAAAGTTTTTGATTTCAACAAGTATTTCTTTGCCCTTTGCTCCACGATATGTAATTAAGTCTCTCGCTGAAATAAATTCGCCACGATACGATATTCCATTGTATGCTCGTTGCCGACATTCGATATTATGTAAATTCATATATATTAAACTTGCATAACTACTTGATTTATTTTGAATGATCGTTGACATTGTTGGACGAGATAAAGTATAGATACGCAGGAATGATTTTATGCATCTTCCCTTCATGAAAGTTTGCCATAAATTTTTTAGGTTGTTACACAGATCTTTGCCGTTATTCTGTATAGCCTGTTCAACAATTTGGGAGAAATGATCAAGACATTGTCTCTCAATACTAATACGAATTAATGGTCGTAGAAAAAACGGTGCAGTACCAATAAATCTCAAATATGTTGCTATATCTGCACGATCAACAGATATCTGTTGATTAGCATTTTCATAAACTCTTTCCGTTTCTGAAAGGTATCGGAAAGGATCTTGGTACTCTCGTACCAGTCTTACTATATTATTGTTTCCGCCTATAAAATTGATATTTCGAAGGAAATCATATCTATGTTGACGTACGGTTGTTTCACATAACTGCGGCAATAAATCTATTACGGTATCGAGATCATCAGTGGAACATGCTGTTCGTAATTGTTCAATCTTTTCCTCTTCTCCTTCATGAGTACAACGTACTTCGTCTAAAGGTAGACTATTTTCACACCTAGAAAGAGATAAAGAGATCATAGCAGCTATAGTTTTATAACGAATTTCAATTATTTGTTGTTTTGAAACATTTCTTTCGTCTGAGATTTGTATGTTGCTATCATAAGTAAATCCTTGCCCATATTAGAAGCCACTAAAAACTTTTAATTTGGTCATCGTGTATAATTCTTGTAAAGGGCTCTTATTATGTTCAAATAAATTCTCATACACCATGATAACGATATAAATAGAAAAGATTTGTAGAGATCTGAAAGGCTCTTGTCTTTTTCCCAAAGAATTTGTGACATTTTCTTCAGATTTCAGTACAGCTGCATAGCAGTCATCCAAAACTCCACCTTAGAACTCACAACTTTAGCAGTTTACGAGAGAAATTTAAGAAAATGTTGTTTTTGAAAGTGCTGCAGGGGGTTTTAATACGTCAAGCACATTGCTCGTCCCAGGGGAGACTTCTATTACGAGGACGGGTTTGGACAATTTCTATTTATTTACTGTTCTCATAATTTTATATAAACTTTTAAAATAACAAACTGCGTCTGTAACTCAACGTAATAATCTCATTCATATTCTTACCATTTACAAGTGCAGTTACCCATGTTTGATGAAAACTGCACAAAATTAGTGAGACAAGCAGATCGAGAATTTACGACCGACAAAATTATTTTTTTTATTATAAAGACTATACCAATATAAAAAGCCTTTCACAAAAGATAAAACAATATCGAAAGCAAATAGAAAAACTCGTAAAAGATTAAATCAATATATATACAATGAATATAAAGAATATAATCAATCGAAACAGCAAATGAAACGTTTGACAAAGTCAAAAGGAAGTAGATGTTTTTTTTCGAATCCTTCCAAATATTTACCACTTGAAAAAAAAATATTTATTTCTTCAGACAAAGTGTAGTGGTGTACAATTTCAGTGGCTGACAAGTATTCTTATTCTTTTCATCAATACACTGACTAATCTTCTGACAATATACATATCGCTCGCTTGGGTAACTATGACCGACGTTGAAAATGAGAACATTGAAAAAGACAACGAAGATTTATTATTTTATGATCAACTTATTATCAATACTGAAGAAAATTTAAGAGCCACTGCTCTTCTTATTGTTCTATTCATCGGTTGTTTGTTTTCGATTATGAAGCTCTGCGTTGGCTTTAAACATATCAATTCTTGCTCGTATAAGTCAATGATGCCCATATGGTTGGTTGTCTCTGGACTGAGAGGATTGGGTGGATATGTTTTTTATATATTACTAGTAGGTCATAGCAAACAACATATGTAAGAACTTAAAAATGTTTGATTTTAATGAGTTAGTGATTATCATTCGATATTAATTGATTAAATATCTATTCTCAAAATAACATAAGCTATCGGAAGTACTCTAAGTTGTTTCTGATTTGTTTTATTTAGGGAATCGGTAATATTTGTATGTCAAAAACGAAACATAACATAAACATACGTAACAAGTTACGTCGTGTTTTCATGTTCATTTCACTTGTATTTGGACTTGCATGGAATATTTTTGTAACTACGTAAATTGTACTTTCGTTTTTTATTTAATTATGATTATATTTTAGGGTTACGTACTAATACTAAAGAATCGTTCCATAACTGACGTGGGAAAATCAGAAATTGAAAAACAGTGTGTAATGCAACTATACAACTTAATGTACATAAGCCACTCAATAGTTTTGTCTTCTCTCGCAGTAATATTAACGACAGTTATTAGCAAAACGTTGCTTTACCGTACATCAAGAATCAAAGAAAGAAGAACATGTTACTCAAAAATATGTTTTTTTTTGTATTTGTTGTTTCTTTCCCTATTAATAGCTTAATATACTGTAGACGTGTTACATATCCATTTCTAAAACTAATTCTTTATTCATGAAAACTGTTACATATTTCATATGATTTTTTTTATATATAGGAGTTAAAGCAATATGTATATTTTATAAAATTTTTTTTACAAAAATATTAATTGTTTATTAGAATTTTCACTCAATCTTTATTGATTTTTCTATGTAATCGTTGATAAATTACTTTTATAAGAAATACTTTCAAGAATTTTATAATTTGTATAAAATAAATCACAATAAATGCTAATAGAATATCCATAGATCTATAGGTAAAACGAAAATGACATTTGTCTAGTGCAATAAAATATTGCCAGAGTAATATATAAATAACGCTCGTCGGAGGTGACTCGCATTACCCTCGACTGAAAATATCACAATATATTATCAATTTGATATTTGTTTTTCTTTGTTTCAGTTAAGAAAAATAGTTTCTAATATAATGTAAACTGTATTTATTTATTTCTCTATGAAGTAAAGACACGCTAACGATATAATGATCAACTGCATAAAAGAAAAGAAAAAAACAACTGTATATTGATTGAATATAAACAAATACAGATTGAAGAAGCTAAACAAAAAATACATCTGCAGAAAAATTCGAAAAGAAACTTGTACTTACATTTGCAAACAATAAATGAATAGACAAATAGACAAAAATTTGAATTATACAAGAGATTTGTTCAATTACAAAAGATGCAAATAAATCACATGCGAAAAATCGATGACAAGTAATGAAGATTTGAAATGTTCTGTAAAATTTGTTAAAACCATTCTGAAAAGCGCATTTGTGTTTCCATGTAGAGTTTGTCTAGTCTCTGCATCTCGGCGACTTGAGATTTAC